ACGGGGCAAAAAGTGCCAAAAACGGTAAATCAGTTTTTAAGAGAACAGAGCGTCCAATTTTAATAATTCAAAAAACATTTTACTTGTATTGGCAAGATAAAGAATTGATCAAATTTTCATGAAGGCAGGTCTAGCGGTTTCAGAGATCTAGTAAAAAAAGCAAAAAAAATGCCATTTGGCGGTCAAATATGAACATTAGACATATGCACATCAAATTATGAGATATTTTATAGAGATTTTAACAATAAGTATAAATTTTGTTTACATTCCTATGGGTTCCATACTAATGTTTATCCGTTAGTTTTTGAGTATCATTTTATATTAACCAGGCTTAAAAAAAAAAAAAAACTGGAGACCTAATATAGTATTATTTACTATAATACTTTCATTTTACTATATTTTATTCTTTTTGTTTTTAGTTTTTTTATTATATCTCAATTAGCTCTATTAGTTAACTACTACTAATCTACTAAATTGTAATGAACTATTTCACCATATACTTGTCAGCATTTTCTGCTTAATGTAATAATATATACATAATGCAGAATAAAATAAAATAAAAGAAATTTATATTTGAAGTATAAAATCTGTGCAAATTTTAGTGGTCATTTACAAAGTTGTACAGATCTGCATTTGATAAAAATAAATTTTTCTGTGGATAAAAATCGATGTCGATCAAATTTGTTTGAAGATCTACAAGAAGATATGAAACGACCCGTCAAGATCAAGTTTGATCAAATTTCAAATAAAACAACATCTAATTTGATCAAAAGATCCATTTATACATTCGTCATTTTTCCTGAGACAATCAACATTTAAAGAAAAAAAAAACAAATCAAAAATTGTGGTAACCAAAATTTTCTGTAACCATGGTCAAAGAGTACACAATTAATTTTTCCTTAAAAATAGCAATCAAGATATAATGAAATCTTAAAAGCAATTATTACTAAATAATAAAAAATAATAATTTAGAGTTCACTCCTCCATGTTAAAAAGTCAAGTGTTTCATTTACACAAAAATTAATATAAAATGTTTTTTTTCGACATATATTTAAAGATTTAGAAAAAAATGCGATTGGCGTCAAAATGTGAACCATGTAAATAATTATACGTGAGAAATTGCAGAACATATTTTGTTTAAACAATAATTATTTATGCAAACATTAGCCATGTGGGAAATTCATTATGTAAGTCAAAACTGTCTTATCTAATTATTTCTATCTGCAAACAGAAGAAAATCTTGTTTTCTATTATGCTTTAATTAATCGTCCATGAAATAGTTGTAAAGTAATGAGAATACATGAACTAGTAGTGCATGGCATCGTGCCTTAAGGCAATTTGCTAGAACGTCCGAACCAAAAATTGAAATTTTTAAAAAAGATTCAAAATTTTGTTAAATCTTTGAAATAATTACATTTTTGAGAATTTTTAAATTTTTAAACAAATAGGACTTTCTTGAAAAAAAAAAATTTAATATATTTTAGAAATTTTGAAATTTTCGGAAATTTTGAATATGTATAGGAATTGAGATCAAGCAAATTTTAAAATTATGACGATAAAATTTTCAACTGTTTAATTCGAAAACTAGTGGTGCCTTAAGGCAAATTGCTGGAACTTCCCGTAATTTCAATTTTTTTTAGAACTCTGAAAAAAAAAATCGATTTTTGAGATTTTTAAAAAAATGACCTTTTTGAAAAATTTGATTCTTTTTGATACTTTGAAATATTTTGGAATTTTTGGTAGAACTATAATATTTTAACACTTTCCACAAGCCAATTTCAGAATTAATACGTATTTTGCCGCCGGAGCGGTTATTTATTTTAATATTTAATTTCATAACGAGTTAGACTATAAACTTATTCCAATCATTCAAGTTTCAACAAATGCCTTTTAAATTTTTGAAATCGGCGCCAACGTTTTTGAGAAGGTTATCAAAATGCTTGTTCCAATGGTTTCATATTCAGATTCAGAATGACTTGAAACGTCGAGAAAACATAATTAGTGATAATAGTCAACATTAACTATAATAGTCAAACATAAAACAAAATGCACTCGTGCTTATTTTTATTTCCATGTATATCATTTACTTGTGTTAATTAATGATTTACAATCTCAACAACAATTTGTTATTTTTATCTTTCAATTTATTTGAGAAACTTTCTAAACGTCGTCCTCTTTGACCGGAGAGAAAATACATAAATTCCTATAAAACATCTTTTATTTTTTCCGAAGATTTTATTTTAAAATACACAACGTACATATATGCAATGTGTCTACGGTTAGTGCGACGGCTGGGGGACAATTCGAAATGAATCATTCATTATTAGTCATAGTAATATTATTCACTACTTTAGTTATTTGTTTATTAATTCGAGGAGATATTTAATAGCTATTGTTATTATTAGAAATAGTCTAGAGAGGTGTGGGGAGCAAAAAAAAAACTGTAAACGAAGTATACCAAAGTTTATCAAAAATATTGATTGATACTCTCATAATCAGAGGAAAAAAAGTAGTGTTAAAAAAGTGAAACATACAATTAAAGTTTTTTTGAATATAAATCTTACGTTGAAAATCTCATGTTTAAAAAAATATGGTATCGCAAGAAATTACATGCGGTTGTTTTCTGTTACATCCAGGCATGTAGCTATTATTAATACTAGATAACATTTTAGATAATCATACATGTTAAAATAAGAAAATATTCAAAAATAAAGAAAATGTCTAACACTTCTCATAAACACCTCGCCCCAGTACCGATGCACACACATGGGGTCCAACAGACCCCAGCAGGTTTTAAACGCTTGCCATTGGCTATTATTTTTCTAAACTATTTGACTAGATTAAAAAAAAACGAAAATAAAATTTGAACTATCTACAACACGATAGCATACATTTTTAAAGTCAGTAAGAGATCTGATTGTTGTGGGAACAATAAAAAAAAAATTAAAGGCAAAAAAAATTTAAAGGCTTGAATAATGTTCGGAAACGAGCAATCTTGTGCAAAAGAGCTAAAGGTGGCCGTTGAGGTCCAGTAGACCCCAAGTGTACGAGAAGGGTTAAAATAACTTCAGCATATCTTCAAAAAATCTAATTTTTTTGAGATGTACTGATTTCCAGCTCCACATTTAATTTTTGAATAATTAATTCTTTTAAAACATTTTAAAAAAATACAAATATAACATTTGTTTTACAGATATTTTCAAAATTTTGAACATATGTAATTACAAAGATGAAAAGGTTGTTATACTATATGATTAAATGTTTATTTTTATTAATTTTTGTATCTAAAAAAACAAATGAATATAATACGTATATATTTACCCATATTTGCAAATTCACATATTTTTAATTTATAAAAACAAAAAATAAATATATTACATAAACAGTTTCTCATATCTTCAATTTTCGAAACTTTAAACAGAGATTGCAGATAAAAACTATTAATTATTTAATTAAAAAAAAAGTAAAAAAAAAACATCATTATGAGAAACTACTGTCACCCGAATCGAAGACTGCCAAAAATATAACCATACGATTTCGTGTAAAAGATTAAGGAAAAAAAATTTAGAAAATAAAAAATAGGGATATCATTGAAGATAAATTCCTCACAGCCATTAAGACCAACACATAGTTTAAAAGGATAATATTATTCCGATTGACTATTTATATACATATATGTATATCAAGAAAAAAGTTCAATTTTATATAACTATATTACCATTAGACCACTTTCGTGGTTTTATTACCATTAGGACATATATTACGTTCTATATTTTGTACTGATCACCGTTGACGTTAATAATAAAGTAAAATACAAAATTGAATACGTCCACAATTATATAGAAGATTACGTAAAATGAAATGTGTTGAATAAATTAAATTTAACTAAGATATACATTTGTTTGAAAGATATCGTTTGAAAATCGCAATTTAAAGTAAACAAAAATTTAACTTCGAAATAAACAGTTATATCATCACTACAATTTTAAAAGTTGCTAAATCCTAATCCTTATTGATTAAGTAAATCATTTCAATATATTAGGAAGAAAATGCAGCTTGCTTTAAAGCAAAACGCCACTTAATCCCAGTTATATGCATCTTAAATAATTAAAAACATAAATAATATTATAATCAATTTTTTCAAGTAATTTTCCACCAGCGCCCTTATTATTATCATATATGTAGGTACTTTAAAACCGGTTCGACAAGTCCGTATAACTTGCGACGCCTATACCAATATTATAGTACACACCTGTGGTAGAATCATTATTTTCCTCGAAATCCAACATAAACCACCAGTTTTAACTGTTTTTTAGTATTTAAATAAGTAAGATGATTCGTAAAGTTCAGATTTTAAACGAAATCATTGCAAAATGCTTGTAAAAACAAGTTCAAAGACGAGGAATTTATATATGCCGAACATTGTATACGTTCAAAGGCAACGAAGTTATTTCGAAATTAAAAATATCATACGCGATGTTTACTTTAGACACAAAAAACATAAATAAAATATTTTGAAGAATTAATACTTGTAATTATTAAATTCCCGAAGGACAAGTTCGTTTTGGCAAAAAAATCCGATTTGCTAATTTTAATTAGATCGAATTTGGAAAAAGTATGTGCGTGTGAGTGTGTGTGTGAGAGCCGAATTTTTCCGAATATTTACTAAAAATAACGAAGCATAAATGTCAAGTTTAATATAACGAATTATAAAATACAACCATTTTTCAATAAAATAATAATTATGTTGGAAATTGTTACGATAATTCTTCGTGCGATAATTATTTACGTATTTATATATTATGCACACATATGATGTGTTATTCCATTTATTGCAATTGCAATAAAATTATGCATATAAAAAACAAGTATGTAATAAATTTGCACAAGATAAACAAAACAACATGAAATCCGTATAAATATACATCGTGCAGAATAGTTACTGACATATAATAAGAATGTTATAAAAAAGCATGCTTGCTATTATTACTATCACTCACCTATTTCTGTAATATTTCTTCAGCGAAATTCATCATTTTCTCGAACATTTATCCCAAAAACTACACTAAATGGCACATGACATTAAAAACTGTTTACTACAGCAGCAGGTGTTTGTGAAGCACCTTGTACACATCACTTCAATATTAATTATATTTTTTCTTGATTATCACAAAAACAGTAATAACTTTATGTACATATTTCTATAAAGTATTATTTTTTGCTAAATACACATGGTGTTATATTGTTTTCATTCACGTTTGTGACAACTTGTAACACTGCCGACCGACACGACTTTAGCACAAACAAAACTACCTGAGTTTTTGTTCAACGTTTGTACAAAACGGACCTTACTCCCTCTCCACGTTCGAAATATTTCTGAGAAATTGAGGAATTGATAAATGCCCCTGATTAGACATCAACCAACATAACATATAAACAAAAATGATCATGAAGACTTCTTGACTCTTGGTATGTAATAGAAAATTTCACTTAAGGCAAATTGCTGGAACTTCCCGTACTGTAATAAAATATTCGAAGAATATTAAATTACCAACCATGCCTTCTATGCTCGTCACAACATAATCTGTTAAATTAAATCATGTTAAATCTGTTTAAATTACTATCATTATTATTATTTTTATATAATTGTTATTGTTAAAACACTATTAACTAGTTAACTAAAAACTTTTAATTCAAAAACACTTAAAAGATTGTGAAACCTACAAATTTATAAAAAAAAAAATTATATTGTTAAAATACTTATCAAATTGTTTGTAACAATAATAATAATAATTATAATTATATTATATTATATTATAATTATATTATAAGACACTTATAAATTTGTTAAAATATCATAAAATAACCTAAAATTTGTTGAACAAAATAATTATATTATAAAAGTATTGTAAAGCTTATTAAATTGTTAAAATATACTTGCAGCAACCAAACTATTTATATTTAAAAATAATTAAAATTAGCTAAATATAAATAAGTTTATAGTAAATAAATTAAATAATAAATGAATAAGTAATAAAATAGTTAATAGTTAATTAAATTATATTAAATCTGCTAAATATTGACTTGAGCCTTATATAATATCATTACACTGACGGCTTATAAAATAAATAAATGTTTTCAAATATCTTCTATATATATAAAAATAAGTCGGGTTTTCCTTCCTGCCGAAATAACTCCAGAACGCACGAACCGATTTCGACAATCTTGCATTCGTTGGAAAGGTCTCGGGCTCCGCAAGGTTTATAGCTAAGAAAATTAGTTGTGCATAGCATCGTGCCCTAATGCAAATTGCTGGAACTTCACGCACCGTAATTAAAAATTCGAGTAATGGCATTAGTGAGAATTATCAGAATTATGCTTGCAATTAAGTCAACGAGCAATTGTTGCCGCAAAGAATAATGATGTACACGCACTGAATTTCACCATTCAATCAAAAATTGCTGGCGATTTGGTCACATACCAATGATTCCGACTGCTCTTCCGTTTGACTTCAAACGATTGCAATTTCCAGTTCGCCTTGCGTTCGCAATAACAAGTCGCAAGGCCAATCGCTTAGTGTTTGCGGGATAAATTTCAAATATATTATTTAGAAAATCATTGTTTTTTACATGGGCAGTTATACGTTGCCTGTTCACGAGTTGGAAAACCATCCGCTTTGATTGTGTTAACGTCAGACCAAAAAACAAAAAATGTGGTTTACCAAAGAGCACTTCAATGAAACGGATAATTTGCAGATTCACTTAAATTTACTCAGAGAAGTTCAACTAAAAAACACTTCATTTTTGTAATCGAAATAAATTCATTACTGTTGTATAATAAAATCAATTTTTTTCTCTTCAAATATAAAACAAACAAAAAATTTCTTCATCTTTCTCACGAAACCATCTGGTGGCGAAACGGAGTTCGTCGGGTTTGCTAGTATTATTATAAATACTGTAACTTTAAATATTCGTGTTTTATAGACAAAAAATAAAAGCTTATAAATTGGACGATGATGTTTATACAAATTTAAATAAAAAGTAAATAAACCAACCTTAATGATCCTTTCGAAGAGGATGAAAAATCTTGTCTCATAATTTTAAGAATTATATAAACTAAATTGCAAAGTTAAAATTATTTATTTCCAGTATTTTACCTAGAATTAAAATTAAAATCTGAATTATTTTCGATATTAAAAATTTTTTTTGTAAATTTTTTTTTCCAAAAACAATCGTTTCGTCAACACAAGTAAAAAGTTTTTTAAATTATTCAAATCGGATGCTTCGTTCTCTCAAAAACTGCATTTTTTTTACACATTTACCTCCGTATCTTCGAAACCACTGGACCTGCCTTTGCCAAAATCTAATCACCACTTCTCCTCATCATTACGAATTGAATGTTTTTTGAATCATTTCGATCGGATGCCGGTTCTCGCAAAAACTGAGTTTCCATTTTCTGCACTCTTTGCATCATATCTGTAAAATTGTATCCACACATTACAATACAATTTCCAATTGATGTCTTTCAAACATATTTATACTATCTGTAAATGTATAAATTAAATTAATTAATTATTAATTAATTTTAATAAAAATTGGGATTTAGCTTTTCAGATTAATTTTTGCAAAAATTAATATAAAACAAAATTATAATGCGCTTGTAGGTCTTAAAACCTAGGCCAATTCTTCCAAAGATTAATGAATTTTTATAATTCAACCACTTTTTGTAAGACTAGTTTTCTGGAATGTTAAGTTTCATAAAAAAAAATTGGATTGGATTTAAGAAAGCATTAATGCAAAAATAAAAATAAATACATATTATGTATAAATATTTTGTATGACCTCTCATACCAGACAAAATATATATTATAATTAATAAAATAAATAAATAAAAAAAAAAAAATTGTTTCATGATATTTGACTAGAAGGTGAACATAAAATTTTGCATTTTTCTTGTAACTGTAAAGAAACGCCTAGGCTGATCATCGTCCATAACTAACCAATGCCTGCCCTCATCAAATGGCTTTAAATTTTTTTAAATCTGTGCAGCTGTTATGAAGACAAAGACTCAAATATAGGCTCTCTCTCACACACACACTTGCTCCAGTTTTGATGTCAAAACATTCAGAATGATTTGAAACATTGAGAAAATATAAAATTAACAAATAGGACAACTATTTATCACAAGTAATACAAATCAATACAACTAATTGTTATATACAAATTAATTTTATCAACTCCTAATATGGAATATTAGCCCAAACTCGTGTATGAGAGTCAAATATCTATCACCATGGTCCAAAATTTTGTAGTTGTTCACTTTCTTGAGTAACCAACAATCGATCCCGTAATAAAGCATTTCTTTTTCAAATATTATTTGAAATTTTGCTCCTTTATGAAAAACATGAGTCTTTGCTTTGATTGGTTCAAAGGTAGTTATAATGAATGTATCTTCCATCAAACTTGATTTTGCATTTATTGGTAATGGTTTGTCATCTACTATCACTTTTATTGACATTTTATTTAGTTGTGACTTGGGAATTGATGTGCGCCATACTATGTAGTTGATCGACATGGGAACGGCACATAAATACTCAAATTCTTCTACCAATATTTTTGTGCTGTAGGTATTTGTCCTACACCTACGTTGTAATTGAAATGTAACAGAAGCTTCTATATTAGCTGATATCTTAGCTCTGCAAGACCTTCTGGATCTGATAGATTTCATTCTTGGTTCAGTTATCGGACAAATAAACAAACTTTTGATGTCTGGTTTGGCCTTTCCTTCTGAATATAAGTAATCGCAAATAAATATGACATCATTAGCATCGAATGCTTTTAAAAAAATTGGATCAAATACTAAATCATATATATCAGCTGTTAGAATACGAACTTTGTTAATCAAACCATGCCGCTGAAAAAAAATTATTTGTTTTATATAAGTTTATAAAAAAAACTTATTTCATCTGATTATATTTCCAAGGTTTTAAAATATAATATAGATTTTTTAATAATTTTATAAAAATTACCTTCAAGAAATTTTTGATATGCAATATTTTCTGATCAGACTTTGTGTTAGATTTATATATAATGGTGCCAAAAGTTTTATCATTCGTTGCAGAATATACTCTGTCAATCGTGATATTTTGAATAGTTCGATTAATAGTAACTAAATTACTACCTTCGCTGTGGCTACATTCTGGCCTTGTTTTAATATTTACAGAAGCATATTCATACAAAGCATGGAGGAGCTAAAATATAAAAAAAATTAACATACAAACAATAAAATTATTATGATAATATTTAACTTAATCAGAATGACATATTAAATAATAAAAATATATATGTTTATATTCACATTCATTTCTTCCATATTTAACGAAGGCAAATTAATAATTTCACTCAGAACACCAATGTCTAGTTGAACCAGTTGTTTTTGAAGAAGAACTTTATTAGCATTATTTGCTATAAACTGTAATGTAAATCGGTTGCATGTTACAAATACATTTCATATTTATCTATTTATCAGATTATCCATTTCAAAAATTAGTTATTCAATACTTCGTATATACCTCACTTGCTCCATCAATAATAAAACTATATAAATATAACAATTGTCAAAGGAAAAAATAGTTCTAATTTAGTAGCATGCATAAGCAAAATATAAATTGATGTGATTAACTATTTTCTTTCATCATATAAAACTCAATTTAAATACATTCATGCAAGCAGCTTTCTTATATACGCTCTCTGTTTTCGTTGCCAAATAAAGATATTCCAAAGCATTCCCAACTTGCAGCTCATCTCCTAAGAAGTACTTGCAAATATTTGTCAATTCAGCAGTTTTATATTTTATTGACATAGTACACAAATGTTCTATTTGGTTCAGAGTCAATTCGACCACATCACTGTATGAAAAACATTGGTAAAGGTATCTAAAAAAATGAAATAGTATTAATCTACATCTGACAGTATATTACACTTGAAATAATAATACATGTATGTATTTTACTACTATAAATTAACGAGAAAGCAATAGTTCTAATTTTAGGTGGTTAATTGACTAAAATAAGATTAATATTAGATTTCACACTTTAACTTACATGCAATATAATATTATAGTGTGTTAATTTATAAACTACTGAAATGCTTGGTCTGAAGGAATACATACTTCAAGAATATTTCGAAAACTTTCTTATCTTTTTCCTTGATGCAAATATTTGACTCTACAGCCGAATTTGCAACAAATATTTCATAGACATTACCAAGTGTCGCCCTATCCAACTTGTAATCTGTATTAGTTCCCTAGATTAAAATAAATAGTTAATTAATTATTTAATATTGATAAATACTTATCCAAGAACGTTACATCTGGAAAAGTGACAGTTATTGTTACGTCTGAAAACTTGGCTAATAATTCCAAATTAAAAGTTCTTCTTTGGCTTGCAAACAATCTTTTCAGAATGTCAAACATGGTGCAAGTGTGATCACAAATTAAAGTGAACAACTAACATAAAACTGCAAACTTTACAGTTCGATATGATTTGAAACAAAATCAGTTTTTGCCATTCGGTAACGAAGATCGTATATTGCCCATAGATCAGCCACTTTATATGCGTTGCGTGAGGGCGCTGCTTTTGGCATTCAAATTAATGGCGCAAAACTTGAAATAAAAATTAATAAGTTTTAGTGATCGGGTATTTGAAACTAAATTTGGTATTACAATCGTATTATGATTTGTTAAAATACAATAATAACAAAAAAAGGGCGCATAAGGCGCACATGCGATTGAATTTTATTTGCTACTGTACAAGATGGCATTTAAGTAAAAATAAATACATCATATAACAATTTTGAATGATGTTTATTAGTAATATGGTAATACTCGTGATGCACACATTTATTAGTGTCAACCATTATGCATATTTAAATAATGATAAATTATAAATTATATATTTATAACAGCATTAAAAATGTGTATAATATTTAAAAACAATAATGTAATTAAAGTCATACCTCAAATATGATATGATCGGTTTGTCATTATAATTAGCATTTAGAAATAAACCTTCATTAGAGAAATGAAAAAAAAATGGTGATTAATAAATTCTATAATATTCGTTCACACAGTGGATTATGTTAAACAACGCCTAAACAAATATTGTTATATATTGTATTAACTATGTTTTTATTTGTATTTGTGTCTTATTAATTTGTGCGTTTTTATATATAATTATAAAATAAAACTAGAGGGACATCGTGCCTTAAGGCAAATTGTTCCCGTACCAAAAATTATTATTTTTTAAAAAGATTAACATTTTTGAAAAAAAATTACTCTGAAAAAATTAGATTTTTGGAAATCATAAATTTTTGACAAAAATTCACTTTTTTTTGAAAAAAAAAAAAACTTTTTGAAGAAAAATTTATTTTGAAATATTTTGGAAATTCTGAACTTTTTTTCAAAGAAATCGTACTGCTTTAACTGCATAGAGACGAAATATGGAAGCGCGTAAGCGCCGCGTCGCCGTCTAACGAATAAACATTGGTACGAACCCATAGGAATGTAAACAAAATTTATACTTATTGTTAAAATCTCTATAAAATATCTGATAATTTGATGTGCATATGTCTAATGTTCATATTTGACCGCCAAATGGCTTTTTTTTTACTAGATCGCCGAAATTGATAGACCTGCCCTTCATGAAAATTTCATCTTGTTAATACAAGTAAAATGTTTTTTGAATTATTCAAATCGGACGCTCCGTTCTCTTAAAAACTGAATTACCGTTTTTGGTAGTTTTTGACTCATATCTTAGGAACGGCTAGACCTGTATTAATAACAGCTTGTAAAAAATTAATAATTGGAAACAAGCACCAAATGTCAGTAGTTTCTTTTTTATAAAGAATAAAAAATAATAAAATAAAGAATAATAAATAAAATATTATACGTAGGCACTCGTGTATCCGAGGCATATCAAACAAGAATAAAGTTTTTGTAAAAATCCCTATTAATTAATTAAATTATTAATTTTTTACAAGTTGTACAGAACTTTTAGTGTTGACGCCCAGGTTTGAACCGCACATGAATCATTGTTTTTTTATTTACAATAATCAATTCATCCTTGAATTGAAATATAATTCATTTGTTCGACGATTAAAGTCATAGTAGGTGGTTAAACAGATCTAAAACAAAAAATATAAAATAATTTATTAATAATCAAATATTAAAAATGCTGTTTGATATTGAAGAAAAGGCCATAATTGACTTAAAAGATGCTGTAATTTTACAATTTTACGTGTTCCACGACCTGTCGGTTCCTGTGCATGCCTTGGCGTGCTGCAGAGAAAAATTGCTGAGGATACACTTTTTTGCGGAATTTGAAAAAACAAAAAAGTTACTGAAGAAGCCCACACTCGCGTACCGGGCGCCAGAACATGTTAAAAGATATCCGGGAAAAGTAATCTCTGATGGAAACTTATTTACAATCCGGGCTCCTAAAATTGTTGAAGAATATTGGGACACCGTGCCGGAACGATTGAAGTAGAAATCGTAGAAAATGAGGTGAACATCTTGGAAAATGGAAAGCTGACTGATTCATTTTTTCTATAACTTAAATTTTTAATTAAAATTATTTGCGTATAATTAACAGAAAAATTAAAATGAATATATACTAAAATGTGAATCTTTTTTATTTACAAAATACGATTTCAGTTGGTGCAATAATGATGTAACATATAGGCAGGGTATGCCATCTAATATTTTTCATTTTCATTTTCATTTTTTTTGAATTAAATTATAAACTGAATTAATTTCATTATTAACTGAAAGGATTGTACTTTCAAATAGAAAAAGAAATTTTAGAAAATATTCAGTAGTTTGTAAAAAAAAATAAAGTTATTTGGCGAACCCTATATAATACAATTGGCTTATCTTCGTAAAGGTTTTCAAAATGATGTTTTTGTACTTCTCTCTGTAAAAATTTAGAAAATTCAGGGGAGATAGACATTTTTTTATACTATTTCCCGATACCTTTTTAATTTTTCTAGACATATTTTCAAACGTTTTAAGAGGCACAACTAGTGTGAAATTTTCAAAAAATCAAATTTTCAATTTTACCATATTTCGATAGGTTATACCTTTAAAAATAACATATCAAAATTTTAAATCGATATCTTAAATAGTTTTTGAGTCACAGCCATTTAAAGAGTATATATATAGTACATAGTATAACGATCATTTTATCTTTAAACGCGATTTTCTCGAAACAGCATTTTCCAAATTTGCTGCAGCGATTACTCAAAAACAAACAATCAGATAACTATCAATTTTTTTACATGCTCTATATATAGTTCTCCGTAAAATGAACTATCGATTTTTTGATCGGATCAAAAATCGAACTTTGGCAGTCCAAAAACGACCAAAATTTTGGGTAAAATTCGACTTTATTTTAAAAAACGCAGCCATTTTGTCAATTTTTGTTTGTTTTTCTACATTGTAGTTCATTTAACAGACAATATTATCTAGTTTAACGAGATTTTTTTTTAATTTCATCCACGTAGAAGGCCGGAATCACTGAAGCAGTAAAGGGCCTTTTTTTTTGTCGCGCCATTGGAGATCGACGATAACTTAAAAAATATTTTTTTTTTTTTCAAAAATTTTACTATGTATTCTTAAAACATGTCTAAATATATTCCTAAAATTTTGAATGATTGATAAAGTAGTTTTTTTATTATAAATTCCCAAAAATCACCTTTTAGGAGATTACACTATTTGTGACCCTTAAGGCATTTAAAAATCCTGTGGTTTGGTAGTGCTTGAAAACGACTTAGATAGTTGATAGAATACTTACAATGGTTAACTCTAAACATACACCACTAGTTATTTTTACATCTATCTATAACGAGATTTTTTTTTAATTTCATCCACGTAGAAGGCCGGAATCACTGAAGCAGTAAAGGGCCTTTTTTTTTGTCGCGCCATTGGAGATCGACGATAACTTAAAAAATATTTTTTTTTTTTCAAAAATTTTACTATGTATTCTTAAAACATGTCTAAATATATTCCTAAAATTTTGAATGATTGATAAAGTAGTTTTTTTATTATAAATTCCCAAAAATCACCTTTTAGGAGATTACACTATTTGTGACCCTTAAGGCATTTAAAAATCCTGTGGTTTGGTAGTGCTTGAAAACGACTTAGATAGTTGATAGAATATTACAATGGTTAACTACTAAACATACACCACTAGTTATTTTTACATCTATCTAATCCATTTAATTTCAGTTTTCTTTAAAATATTCTTATATATCAATTTTCAACTCTTTGTCATCATTTATAAGCAAATATTGATTTTGCTTTTATTATTCTAAACTAAAATTTTCCAATATTTTTATTTTTTTAAATAAAATTAAAAATTTTTATTATTGATTATTCATAAACTAATAAATAATTATTTAACATTATTTGTGATAAATGATAAAATCAATAGTTTTTTTTTTTAAATTTAAAAAATATAATCTAATTAGATTATAACATCGAAATCAAAAGCTGATATGATCTTTACAATTTTTCTATATTTCATTTAAACTCTATATATTGCAAAAAAGTATAAAATTATTTTTACAAACACAAATTCAATTATAATTATAAATATATACATTAACCTAATCACAGCATATCATTTCAAACTTAATTATCTATTTTCATGTCTTATATAAAATGCTCATTTCAAAACAAATCTAAATTCGATATCATTCTACATCACATATCATATCGCATTCGAGTAATCGTTCTCACATAATCGTCCTGATCATTTTAGTTTCATAATCAACAAATTTTCCTAAAATTTGTTGAATAGTTGGAAATTTGTAATTCCAATTTTATATAAATTTGATTTCGGTCCGTCTGATTGAACTTTATTCAACCAATGTTCTCCATGATTATTGCAGAAATCAAACTAAATGAAATAATAAATTAAACATTAGTGAATCAAAAATAAATAAATAATAGTTGGTATTGGTTTTTTGCCTTGAGGCAAGTTACATGAACTTCCCGACATGGGTAAATAATCGACTTAATCAATAAAAAATAAATTAATTTATTAGTGATTAAAAGTATTTCGAGTGGTTTTACTACACATAATTGAAAACGAACGAACACGTTAACTCGGAGTATTTTCTATAAGCAAATTTTCAGAAATCAATCATTTTTATAATTGAACCAGTTTCAGTAGGACTTGAATGGTTTAGTATGTTCATTAAGACCAAGTACTCTATCGTTATACCAAGTACATATATAGTCTAATTTTAATTTTAACAAACGTCAAAAAAACTACTCATTTTCTTAAACTTTGATAAACTTTTAAAATTAAACTACTTGTCGTAGGGCCGTAATACTTTAGTAAGTTCTAATTTTGACAAATGCCAAAAAACGATACTAATTTTTGCAAACTTCGACGAATTTTTAAAATTAAACGACTTGTCGTAGAGCCGCAATATTTTAGTATGATCTATAAGACCATGGTATCTACCGTAAAAACGAGCCGGCCGACCTTTACCAAAAACTAATCAGCACGATTTCCAACCAATATCTTTCGAACGGTTTTTGAATTTTCAAAATCGATTCAGAATTGCGTGCTAAAACGTGAACGAACAATTTTTCACTTTTCTGCTATTTACAGAGAAACGGCTTGGCTGATCGTCGCGCAATACATCGAATGGATTTTAAATTTTTGAAATCGGTCCAGCCGTTTTTGAGAAAACATCGATTTACGGCAAAAAATCTGTTCACATACACGCGCACATACACACATACTTTTTCCAAATTTGGTCTCATTCGATTCAGAATGGCTTGAAACGTCGAAAAAACATAAAATTAGCGAATCGGATTTTTTGATGAAAACATAAACTTCTTCTTCGGGAAGTTAATAAAAAATATAATTTAAAATTAGTCATATAATCATTATTGATAATTGAATTGTTAACGTCGATGTGAGTATTTGATACTATTCTAGCATCTCATCACAAGAAAATATCTCAACAAAAAAGTTGGTAATTTATAGCAGTTCTCCAAATAGCACAAATGCCAAATAACAATGTGATCATAAAATCAACAATCTGTTAAACTCTTGGAATCGTACCATTTGGAGCTTTTATCGATTTGGATCGAAGAATTATCTAATCGATATATTTCGATGTGAATTATCTTATCTCAATTTTGTGCGACGATCGGCTGAGCCGTTTCTTTGTAAACAGCAGAAAAGTGAAACAAGTTTTGTCCACGTTTTAGCTCTTGATTCTCAATCGATTTAAAAAAATCAAAAACTGTTCGAAAGATATTGGTTGCGAATGATACTGAATAGTTATAGGTAAAAATCAGCTCCTTGACAAATCGTAACTACTAACCTCATTTCATTATTCAATCAAAGAGTCAGAATTTATATTATCCGCGAATTGGCCTATCTATTAGCTAATTGGCAAGTGATAAAGCTTAAAAAATTCCAAAATCACCTGACAATGAAGATCTACGATGAAGAACAGAACATAGATGCATGTGCGGTAATAATGACCAACAATAATCAAATACTATTCATCCATCATTCTTCATCGCTGTCGTGTCCAACCATACTTTTGCAACGGAAATGTTTCCAGAGCGCGTACCTGAGCTCCCATGCTTCAAAATACAGATCTGGTTTCTGCCATAAAACATGATGGGAAGCGACCGCATATTTTAATTTCAGAGGCGGATTTAGATGAGGGGCCTGTCTGCCTCTTCTTGATATTATAGATTCGACATATTTGTACAATGTTACGGCGTGGTGCGTCCAGCATACCAAGGATATGACGCCTACCACGGTCGCGTGCCGCCAGGACATCTCAACGAGTTTGCTTTCGGGCAGAAGATTTGCTTCAGCCTAAAAATAAAAAAGAAAATAAAATTGAATTAATACAATTGAATAGAATATTTAATGCAATTTAGTTGATCATACACATTCTCAGAAATAATTTTATTGTTTTTTGCAATGTGTTTCACACTTAAGGCAGTATATGATATTTGTTTTCCAATGTATTTTCACCACTGAACACGAGTTAAAATTAGGAGTCAAACTGCAAAACTCGAATTTGTTTTGCAAAATTTCAATTCTGGCGAACTGGCAAACACCAACTTGCGATAGTGACCATCTAAACCAGGACTTCCTGAAGGAGAAGTTTATGTTTTCGACGAGGACTAGCGTTGTGTGAAGATCGGCCGAGCCGTTTCTATGTGAATACCAGAGAAGTGAAAAAAATTTCGTTCACGTTTTAGCCCAATTCTGTATCGATTTTGAAAGTTCAAAAACTGTTCCAAAGATATTGGTTACGAATCGTGCTGATTAGTTTTTGGTAAAGATCGGCCGTGCCGTTTTCTTGTAATAATGTGTTAAAAAACAATTTTTCGACGATTTTTATGATTTTTTTTGACGGTAGATACCATAGTCTTCTAGATCATACTAAAATATTACATATGAGTTTAGATTTAATTGAAAGCGGTAAATTTATTTTTGAAATGAACAGTTAAAATTTTATCTAAAAAATGTCTAAATTTCAATTTCGATTCAATAATTCAATTCTTACAAATTTCGGGAAGGGGGATAGCCACTTGTGAATGGGGTCGCAAATAACAAAAGTTTGAGAAGTCCTGATCTGACCTATCATATATCAACTTCAATTATATTATAAAATAATTCTTTTACTTAATTTATTTTAACCTGATACTGCCCGTGATGTCTAACAATTTTCAATAGCGTTTCATGAAGTTGCTCCCTGTATTCCAGTAGAAAAACTTTATCGGCCGATCGGAACGATCCCACGACTATGTTGAATGTGAGATTTTCCAAATATAACTCAGGTGAAATGAATGACAAAAGATTATTGTGCCTGTCCAGGAATCGTTGCAATATCCTGAGAAGTGATATAAAATACAATTAATATCAGACCATAATATGATAAAAAATGTCACATTGAATTCAAAATAAAACAGTTAAAGATTCGTTAGTACACAAATTCCTGCCACTTCTCCATGACAAGTAAACTCGTCAACAACATTAACTGGTTATTAATATTTTTAAATAAAATTTGAACTCAACAAACCTGCAGGCTATCAAACTGATAACTCTATTATGCGATCAAATCAATTCAATGGGAGTCGTAGTAGAATGTAGAGTTAAAAATAAACCAAAATATATAATATAATAATAATATTATATAAATATATTGTTTACAAATTAATAAAATAACTAGTGGTGTATGGTGTATGGCTTTGTACTGATATCCATTCCAGTAAACACCGGGGGGCACCGATCGGCGGTAGCAATCTGAAATCCACATAGATTCCATATGCATGTCACATCGCTGAAGGCAAGCTTGTGGATTTCAGGTTGCTACCGCCGCTCAAATCACACGGTGTTTACTGGGATATGAGTTTTTCTATTTAGATATAAAACAATGTTCCAAACTGCAATCCGAAAAATATGAACCAAATACAAATGTTAACAACAAAAAGTCAATTTTTCAACTTACTAACCTGTATAACAAAACAGCGTATTCCAAAACACCACCATAGTCCATGATTTGCATGTCGTTTAAACCTGTGTCTAATCTGTCCAACATTAATCTAAGGATAAAATTAATAAGACAGTGTTGTTCTGTTTTGTTAATGAATAGGAATATATACTTTTTACCTAATTATATCCAGAAGTGTGTCATCATCGAACCGTTCCATTGCTCTTCTCGCACAGACCTCTAATCCTCTTTGAAGCATTTTTAAGTTTTTTGTAGCAGCGTTGGTAGAATCTGCGCAAACTGATTCGTACAACAACTCCAGGATGTTCTCGGTTAGGTTAACCATACCTAGGAAAAATAATAAATGATAACAGTATGGACAGCTACACATAAAAATCAATCGGTATTTATTATTAACTTTCCTCATACAACTTGCTTATTATGTTTTACTTAATGTTTGAATACTTTTTTCAAAATCAAGCACTTAGGGTGTCTTGAATCGGTTAAAAATGAAATACTTCTAGTTATTAATCCCAGTCATGAACATAATAATTCAAATTTCAATTAACTTATATTCATCCGTTTATTCTTACCCGACATGGAGCACCTTGGCGCTCCGTGCTTGAGCATTTCGTGCAGCACCCTCAGAACGCACCTGCCTTGTACTTCAGCTTCTGGTTCTGTTGAATTCCTAATAAAATTCTTCACCAGTGACAAAAGCGACGACAGCACAGTGTCCAGTGCCACGTGGCATAGTATCAGACGTCGCATAACTCCCATGCAGAGCATGCTGGCGTCCCAGAGATGCCAATCCGTCAAGTAGCAGATGAGAGTTGATGTTATCACATCAGTTTTTTCGGGGGTCAGAAGCCACACTACCCTGGAGTTAAACAACTAATTCATTAGGATAAATTGAGCAACTTTGACCTATTACAAGGGCATCTTGGTAAATTCCTCATACAAATTTTAGATGTATTTTCTTAAGATCTGATCGCACCAAATTTGCACCAAAAGGTCTGTTCGCTAATTTTATGTTTTCTCGACGTTATTTAACACAAATGTAGAAAGAATAAGTGTTTCAAAGGCTATTTGATACAACTTAATATTTATAAATAGAAATAAAAAGTAAATAAAAAAAATAATGTTCTTTTTTTATAAAAATGTGTAAGTTGTGGCATAAGTAAGCATTCGATTTGTGGTCGCAATATAGTTAAACTTTTAGAGACCCTACTTGCTGACTATTGATTATTGATTATTGGTCAAGCACAATTCTTTAGTCTTTTTGAGACTGCCATACTATTTCTGGATACTAAAGATAAATATCGATTCAATAGTTGTGAAATAGTAATCTCTTAAGAAAAAAAAGATGTAAACTGGACATCATTGGACAATTAACAGAATAAAATCACATAGAATTATTTACCTAAAATAATTCATCTCGGCTATTCGTACTCTCCTGAGATGCACAGGTGTCACATTCGAGAAGACCTTGACGGATTCGTAGGCCTCTTTCGATAGTGCCAGGCAACACATTATCAATTTGTCCACTGGACACCGTTGGAGCACCGAATTCTCTGTACGATACACAATTCTCTCTAAAGGAATTAAATTTAATAATCTTAATAAAAATACAGAAAAACACTGATACTGACCACGAAAATAAGAATATACTTGATTACACGTAATTTATTATGTGATGGTTGGCACATACTGTAAATGTACGTTATTTATCGCAGAAGTTTATTTATAAATAATAAGTGGATTTGACCCTTTCCACTCGGCATCAGTTCGCTCGTTATTTACTAGCAACTTGGCGCCGCATTCTGACGAAAGCGTAGCTGCTGTAAGTTTTTGAATTGCTCATACCTGATCTATTCTATTCGGCGCTTCAATACGAACTGAGTCAATGTGTATGAAAATTGTCAAATGCCTCGGAAGAGTCAGCCGAGAGATATGCTACCTACGTTGTCCCCTCAAAAGGACAGCCGAGTGGAAAGGATCAACGTAATAATTTGTAATAGTTTCAGTTATATAATATAGTTGTGATAGACATTCAAAATGCGATAAATTTTAGAACAAAAGGAGTACAGTGAATATATAAAAAAGTGTGATATTTCGCATGTTCCACCTTCTTTAAAAATAAATTAATTTACAACAATTGCATGGTGGAAAATATAATTTTATTCAAAACTAAATGATCACATCAATAATCACAGCAATATAGAATTATCTTATCTACCTACCCAAAATTCTAATCGCCGGTAAAAACTTGACCTCTGTGAGAACCAGCCTGGAGCCTCCTTCACTTATGAAAGGCTTTTCTTCAATTCCACAGTATTTAATCAATTTATTTATTTCTTTTTGTAATTTTTCGTAATCAAACTTCGAACTTAACGAATATCTGAACGCTTTCTTTCTACTAACTGTAGGAGTAAATATTGTCGTCTGCAAGGAAAAAGAAACATCCAAAAAAATATGAGGCGTTTAATTTGGCCACATTGGCTTTGGTAAAAAGCGCATAAGGCTGATAACTTTCTTCAGGCATTGTCAACTTTTGCAAACATTACTGATTAAAATAAATACAATGGACACTGCCTTTGGGTAAATATTGGTCAATTGGATATTTCCTCGAATTTTACCTGAAAATTCTGATCGTATTGGTCGGGTCCATGTACGTAGAACGATTCTGTTTGTGATGTCGATAGCAGATTCGATGAGCGCAATGTCACGGAACTACTCTCGGACATGACTTAGACACTTGGAACAGTGACGGCATCCAAGCGATCGCCACAAGTGACATCTTGCCAGGAGCATGTGGCACTCAACAACCGGCAGGTGAGGGCATCAGCTATACTACCACAAGAACTAAATATTAATAATATTTACAATGCAATGAGTTGCGCATTTACCCTCATACCAGACCCCTTACGCATTTATTCTAGACCAAATACCTCCTTCAGTTCTAGAGTATCTGGTCTAGAATTCAAAAAAAAGATTTTCAGAGATATAGCTGTTTGATTACGACAATATTCCACTGTTTCCCTACGATACGATACCCACGATTTCTCTACTTCTACTGAACCGATTTACTTCAATTTTTACACAGTCTACTTTATAGACTTCTCTTCACCATGAACTACGCTTTTTCAAACAGTCGCCAATTTGTGATGAAACATTTTTTTAACTTGTCCGTAGGCCTTTCAAAAATCGCATAAAATTCATGTCTCTAGACAAGAATACCCCCATAATTGTGCTATAAACTTGATGTGACTTCCTAATGACGTAGCCCTATAATAACGTGGTTGGACTTTCTTGTTTTGATAAATTTATTATTACAATAGCTCTAATTTTGAAGACTTCATCGGATGCAATGATGCCGGATAAAGGTTATTCTCTCTTGCAAACATGTTGCTATCTATATACCCAATTGGAAACCGATGTCACTGTTGCTTGACATCAGTTTGTCAGAGGCAGATATCGAATCTCAAAGCTACGAAGAAGCTCCAGACATAGATAAGGAAATGGCTCCAGGTACGCGATTTAAATGTCATATTTATTTATATGAACATACGCTTGAATAACCACCCAGTAAACACCGAGCGGCGGTAGCAATCTGAAATCCACATAAATTCCACATGGGTGTCACAGGGCTGAAGCCACGCTTGTGGATTTCAGATGGCTACCGCCGCTCACATAACACGGCATTTACTGGGAAAAATTACACAATTTAAAATCTTAGTGAATAAAATAAATGCGATGAAGAACGAGAAAATTATTTTTGGCGATAGTTTTGAACTGGAGACCATTTGATATACTCTAAAAGACACATTTTTAATATCCTGGTGGCACCAGTTTTCATTTCTTTCATTCTTTTTACCAATTTGCAATGCAACGGAGTACAATTTAAGAACCGAAGCCTATTAATAAAATATTCTTTCAAAATTATATTTTCCCGTTAAATAATTACAATGTTTGCACCCAATTCATAAATCATGCTATTCTTTATTTATGTAATGACATGCAAGTAGTAACCTTACCTGTAAATTTTGATTAAATAAATGACCACTAGAAAAACAGCAAAATATATTCCTGTAATAAAACTCAATATTTTCTTTCAATTAATAAACCATAAATAAATAAAATGTGATCAAATTTTATATTACAAATTGTATATTAATCAACTTGACAACTCTTTTTGACAGATTCAAAATCAACGTAAAAAATATGAAAATAAAACAAAATCAATAAGCATGTTTCATAGTTGAATGAGGTTTGTTAAGGAAATAACCAGGTACAATTACTGAAAATTATTAGAACATTTTGGAATAATTTATGTTTTTAATAAATGAAAACTTTACCTTTCATTTCATATGAAAACAAACTAGATGCGTTGTAAGTGGTATTTTGCCTTAAGACAAGTTGCAAAAACTTTCTGATATGTACAAACAATTGACTTGGTCACAGGGAATTATTATTTACTAACTTTTCAACATGTCATGACGGAATTTTGAAATTTCAACGTGTTCCATTATTTCCAACGTTGATAATTTTTTATAATTAAATCACTTTTTGCTTACTAAGGTCAAACAATCGTCGAAAAAACGTTCTAGCCGATCTTTACCAAAATTTGATCAGCACGATTCCCAACAGAACTGACAGAATTTTAAACACTTTCAGAAATTTTAAAAATCTGTTCAGCATTTTTGGCTAAAACGTCAATAAAAAATTTGGCACTTATTTAATAGAATTGAATTATAAGAAAACGGCTCGATCGATAAATAAGCTAAATCGTTTTTATGATTTTTATTATTTTCTGAAATCGGTTCAGTCGTCTTTGAGTAAACGCAGACGAAAGGTCAAATTTCGGCTCACATATATACACACACATAATTTTCTAAAATTTGCGGTCAAACGGTTCAGAATGACTTGAAACGTCGATGAAACATAAAATTAACAAATCGAATTTTTGGTAGAAAACATTAACTTCTCCTTCAGGAAGAAAATTGAAATAACAAAATATTTAATTAAAAAACTCAGTTTTTTTCAGAACTTTATTATAATTTCTCGTTTAAAAGCGATTTACAAAAAAAGCCGACTGGCATAAAAATCCTACATACGTAGAAATCTTGTTTCATATTGGTTCCTAAATGATTTTCCAATGATATGATGAGGAAAATTTTATTTTAACTACAACTAAGAAGCAGTCTTTCGCTTATAAAATCGTACAAAGATTATAAGTAAATATATATATATTTATATATAGAGTATAAAAATATGTATTGCAAAAATCGTAATTATTTGTATAATATTACAAAATTGAAAAATTCATGTGTTATCTCAATATATATATGCCTTAGAATAATTTAGATTAATCTTAAAAATGATTAAATTTAGATAAATCTAAAGGATAAATTTATGACTAGATACTAAAAAGAATGTTATGTACAATGATTTTGTTTGACAAATGGTTTTTAAATAAACAGGTATTCGAAATTGATACGATTGATGATGAAGTAGAAAAATTCTGGAACAGCCATATAATAATAGTCCAAAATGTATTTCATAGTAAATTACAAAAATAATTGATTAAAATTATAAATCTATGACTGTTCTTGATATGAACCTCTTTCATAAAACATATTAAGATTTGATTCAAAATTGAGGTTTAAGTACACGATATTGATTGATATTTGTTAACACCCTGTTCATTTAAAATAAGAATTTGATCGCCCAAATCACAACTTTTAACTTAGTCAAACTATTATTTGATAATAAACGATTCTCGATATTATATGCATATATACAAAAAATAATTATTATTTTCTTTATCGTCGACTTCATCACATAGTAATCATTAACAACTAAAAATCTAGTAATACAATCAATAATATATGTTAAACTTCGAAATGTTTGTAGATCGCGATCACATACGCCATTACTTGATGCCAATCCGGTCGTTCCAATTGTATCATGTCGTTAATATTCTGCGAAAATTAATATTATTATAAAAATTTAATAATAATTATTTAAAAAGTGATTTATGATGTAATGAAATAATTGGAAAACGTGCAAAGCTACAAAATGAAACATCGGAAGCCAAAATAAGCAACCTTGGACATCAACCAAAAAGTAAAAGAATAAGCAAACGGTACACAGATAATAATATATACAGGGTGTTCCAGAACTTACAGTCAAGCCAAAACGAGGAGATAGTAGTTACCTTAAAATGTAGTGAAAAAAATGTCATAGAATTTTATAAGGAAATTATGAGCTTTCAAGAGGGTCTATCTTCTACCTTGTTGGTTCAAAAAAATCGATTTTTTTATTTTGTGCTTTTGTGGCCCAAAAGGTACTACAAATATAATATTAAAAGGGTACTTCATGGTCCAGGCATTGGAGATTGATTGTAAGTAACTTTTCTTCCAAGATCCAAGCATTAATATTTTTCCGATTTTGCGATTATCCATGCATTAATATCTTTCCGATTTCCCAAAAATTGTGTTTTTGCAACTGGTCGACAAAATATTGTAACTACAATAGGCATTGTCGCCGAAGGATTAAACAACCCTCAGTGCAAAAGGCATCCCCCACCCACCTCTACTAGGGTTCCCAGTAAACACCGTGTGATTTGAGCGGTGGTAGCAACCTGAAATCCACAAGCTTGCCTTCAGCGCTGTGACATGCATGTGGAATCTATGTGGATTTCAGATTGCTACCGCAGCTCGGTGCCCCCCGGTGTTTACTGGGTTCCTGCAATCTAAGACCCTACTCGAGGGTTAAAAATTTTCATTAAGAAATGTAACAACCTCCGAGGAGGTCTGTCTGTCTTTTAATCCGTCACAATGGAGGTAGCGCATTCAATCCCCCATAAACCCCCCTCGCAAATTATATTACTACGATTTTCAAAAAACAGTATCAAAAAGAGGCCACAAGGTAGAAACATTTATCTATAGTAGAAGTCCCCCTTAAGTGCTATTTAGAGCTTTGGTATTTTTTTCGGTTATTTTTTTACTAATTTTGTTCATTTAAACTTTGGAACAATAACCGTGAATAAAATTTGTTAGAACCACAGTCAAAAATCATAACACAATTGCCCCAAGTTTTCAAGAATTAAGAATTTTTGTTAATCTAAGAATTTAATTTTTTTTAAAATCGGTCGACTTCGAAAGCGGGACCCTTTAGAAAAATACTAAAATGTGTTCGCAAGGTTCATCAAAAGTTAATCAGAATTGTAAAGTGGCAAAATACTTAATATTTATTTATCATTAAGAGGGAAGCCTGCTTTATAGGCTTAAAAAAATCTTTTATTTTTTGCAAAAATGTCTTCTAAAACTAGCCAAGAATAAATCCTTAAAATTTCAGAAAAAAATCATATTTTCGGAGTTACAGAACAAATAGTGAGCAGCGTCAAGCATACATTCGACATTTTCTCCTGTTTTTAATTTTTTCGGGAAAGATAAAAAAAAACTGAACGTTCTAACAAAACGAAACAATATTGATTATATTCAGAATTAAATTCTATTCTAGTTGAATCTAAATAACCTTTAAAAAAAAGTCATAATTAACCCACTTTTTGAACAATCCAAAGTGATTTTTTTCCAAAAATTGGTGTATTTCTTACTTTTTTCTGTTTTTTTTTAGGTTTAACTAGAATCTATACTATTGAAAATATAATTTTGTTTTGTTTTTTTTTTTGTTTGAGATGGAAATTGTGGCCCGATTTATCTTTCCCGACAAACGAAACATGCACGCTCGTGGCGCTTTGGCAAAATGCTTGTACCCGTCGTATTATGACATATATTTTAATGAAAAAAATTGAGAAGAATGTTGAAATATATAACAATAAAACCTGGAAGTTTCGCTTCAATTAAATATTTATTTCCTTCCCTAAAAATTCCTCAAAAAAAGCTATTTTTTGAAACCTCTGAAGCAAGGGGGCAGCCTTAAAAAATCGAGTTAAAAAAATAACGGTTACCATTCTAAAATTTAAACAAACAAAATTAATAAAAATGATAAATAAAAACATTGGTTAAATTTCACGTTTGGGTTATCAAAGTGACATCAGAAAGTTGCACTTATGATAAAATTGTTGTTAGACTTTTGGAGGTTAGGTTTTATGTGCAAAACGCCTGATCGCACAGCAAATACATTTAGACAGTTCGTTACTATCAACTCATACGATTATATCCCCGTAACATAACATTTTTTATCCAAGAATTACCGCCCTAGGTTTCGTAAGCTTACTACTGTAAATATTGTTATGAATCAAATTAACCACTATCCTTCAATCTATTACTACAAAATCCATGCAGGACCGTTCCTAATCTACCATGCACTATTATGAATCCATTCTCACCAGGCTGGTCGGGATGCCGACGCTCTCGGCCGCCGCGAAGGCCAAGCTGAAGTTGCGTCGCTTCTCGTTCGGCACCAGCGTTCCGTAGGGTATCCGGTCTGGTATGTAAGTATGAAGCAGGGCGCAGAGGGCCATGCCGTCGTTCCACGACGAAGAGAAGTTGGTTATATCAATGTTCCGGTATCCAGCAGTGCGTTCCTGGCACCACTTCAAGAGGGCGTTCCTTTTGGAGCCCCCGTTCGCGTAGAGGGCGTTCAGAGGATCGCGGTGTTCGGCTACTAAGGGTTTTTGGGTAAATGATTGTGTGAAATAGATGAGAATTAATGATATTACATGTATATATTAACATAGATTTATTTAAATACAGCCTAAGTTTCTGCAAAGTGTCTTTGTAGTATACCCAATTCGTGGTATAAAACCCTTGCGTCATAGAAATTAAAAGTATGATTGATAAGTTTTATGTGTTCCCTGATGATAACCCTTGATTTTTGTTTTGTGTTATTATCATGCTGTTTTAAACGCTTGATGAAAATTTTGTTTCGTTTCACCGATGTAAGAAGAACCACAATTATTGCAAGCAATCTTATACCACATTTGATTTTTGTTCTAAACTAGTAGCAGGCTTTAGATTTGAAATGAGTATATTACAAAATACTAGTATATTAGCCTTATAAAAAACTTTTTCCACGTGAGATAAAGCTCTTTAACGTAAGTTATGTGAATAGTACATTCAAAATCATTATTCTTCATGGAAAAAACATTGGGATTTGGATTGGTAATTCTGTTCTTTATGATAGTGAGGCTGTTGTTTGTAACGGATTTTACCAGATGTGGAGAGTAGGAGTTGCAAATAAGAGTTTTGAAAATTAAATATAAATTGAAAAACCAGAATTGTTTGTCCGAAAAAGGCACTGATGATGACGTAGAATTTTACGCCGAAATGTATGGAATAATAGAGATGTTTTAAAAGTCATTAAGTTGTCTTTTTTACTTGATGTTACGCCCTCCAAGAATTTAATAATACAATTCAACATCAAATTACGAAAACATGCAGAAAACATGTTATGAATGATAACTTTTTGGCACAAAGTTTGACACCATACCAATAGTATTAAACATATTTTCCACTCAATAATTATGAGACAAATCATGGTCTCAAAAGTTCTTTAACTTTCACCAATATAAAATAAAGCACGCACAAAAAGGAAAACAAGTGCAACAAAAAGCAAGAGAAATTAATCGCTTCTCATTAGAATGAGGATGATTAGAAAAAGTTACAAAATAGCAATAAAATCACAAACAAAAATGAACAAATTATAATTTGATGTAATTTTCCAAAAGCCTAATTATTCCCATTAACATTTAATAAAAAATTTAATAATAGTAATTTTGAAGGTTTATGCTATTACTAATTCCAGAAATAATTCTTAGTGTATTAAAAATATGTAAGCATAATTCAGTTGAAATTTCATGACAAAAATATTCTGAACAGTTTGTAAATCGCCAATGTAAAAACTTTGAGAAAAGTCTACAAAAACAAAACATATAGTTTCTTATATAACAGTTTCTTATAGACCATGAAATAATGATTGTGAATGTTAACAAAAAAATCATAGCAATAAATATCTTACCTTGATCTCCATGGCTGCTTCTCCTGGTGTAGTCTGAAATTTTTTGTTCATCTGCAGTTTTGCCATGAGTTGATTTGTAATTGCTTTTCAAATAAGCATATGTGGGACCTCCCGCTACCACATCTGAAAAAAACATTGGATAAAAAGATTATTTACAATATACTTATTAATTTAATATAGATTATTGCAATATACAATAAGAATGCTGAAACTTACCAGGATGTGTGTTGTACAGTTTCATTGATGTTTTAGGAGTAACAGGTGTGGTTTTAGACAAATATTGGTATTTGTTTTGCTGAGATTGTTCTCGTAATGGATTTTTGACATATCCATGTCCACTCTAAAAATATAAGGGTGATCTTATAATACATATTTTTATAAATAAATAAAAAAGATTTATGCAGTACAAAAGATGTAGAGATTAACAGAAAGCCTAGAATAAAAATAGATTTGTATTTATCAACTTACATAAAGAATAGTAGTAAATACAAAGAAATAGTAAGAGAATAAAAAGTTAATTAATTTTAGGTATATAGTTGGTAAAAGATTACATCTATTCACATAATATATATAATATAATAAGCCAAATAATGCAAGGTTTACAAACTTGAATATAATTTTCTCTACCTGTGTATTTTGTTCAAACATGGTATCAGCCCAATTGGCATCTCGATTATTAGTAGGACTAAGAGTACTGATGATGTCATTTGTCGACTGCTGCACATTTGATAAACTGTTTAAGCTGCCAGTCGAACTGTTGGCTGAACTAGTTTTGTCAACACTTGACAAATGTTTCGTTGGTAATTTTTGTGCAGCTTGCTTTTCTATGTCTTCGATTAAACATTTGACAGATACACGAGAATCCTATGGAAAAAAACTCCACAACTTATAAATATGTTACTGCAAGTATATAATAAAGAATAAAAGAAACAGTCAATCTATTAGTAATTCTGAAAGTTCCATTTTAAGTTTACTTTCTATTATTCATGTATGAATATTTATAATAATTAATCAATAACTAATTGATTTAAATTGATTATTATTTGATTTAAATAACTAACCTGTCTGGCATATGGTGGCTTTTGAATGACGTCAGCTGTATTTCCGAGATTGGATTTAGTAACTGCAAAACAGACATATCAAATTAAAATATAATCTAGGTAAGTATTCAAATAATTCATAATAATGTTTGCAAAATTGCATCATTCCAAGTATTTATAAATCAATATGAACCATTATTATTTAATCTAAAACTGATCAAATTATATGTTAGTATAAGAAGTATGGTCAGAAAAATAATATGCCTCAAAGCAAAGATGAAAATCAATATTAATGATAATAATAATCTTCCATCTGAAAATCAATATACAATTAAAAACAATAACTCTGTTGTAATATGTTTAAAACTAATGAATAGCTTTTTATGATAATTTTTACACAATGAATTGAAACTTGTTGAATTACTATATACTATTTGAACTATGATATATCAGTTTTTATTTTACCCAAACAACACAAAAATCATATATTTATAAAGAATTTATAATAATGTAAAAAATACATTTTTATAATTAAATATAAATAATTATTTATCTAGGACCTGTATTCAAAATCTAAAATTAAATAAAATAAGCAAAAGCTATTTAAACAAGCAGATGCGCATACAAGAATTACATAAATTGCTGTTCCAATTTAGTACTAACATCAAACTAAAATCTTTGGAAAAAAAGATGAAAAAAATTTGGGTAATAAGTGCATTTTTTTGCAAATTCTAGAATCTTTTAAAAATCTTATTGATATTGATCTGAATTAATAATTAAACAAAAACACCAAGAAAAAAATAGTATAGAATGTACTTTATATTTTTCTCTGTTTGAAGTAGAATTTTATTTAGTATTAAGTTCAAAAATTACATTAGTATCAAATTAAAACAGCAATGGTCGTTAGTATAAAAAGCTTTATAATAAAAAATATTTCGAGATCAATTGTTCAACAAATAATCAAAAACAAGTCGCAATTATCAAAATAATGTTTAAATTAATTCAAGAACATATATATATATATATATATATATATATATATATATATATATATATATATATATATATATATAGTTGTTTCCAAGCTCAATAAAAATTTTAATTAGCTTGAATAAAAAAATATTAGTTAGATTCGTTTGTTAATAATAATTACTAAATTTGAACAATTGACTCCAACATCAAGAGAAACATTTAAAAAATCATGGATCTAAAAACAATCACTGACACGAGACAAAACCAAAACAACAAAAGCAAATTTCTTGCCGCTTCGACAAACACTTGACAACATCGAACGTGAAAATCGAATATCCAAAGTTTCACACTTACTATCATCGTATTTCGAGCTATTTTTTGTCATTTCAGAATTGGTTGCGTTCTTTTCGAACTTTTTTTCCGAAGTCAGAAAGGCATTTTTCAAAACCCTCTTAATACTAGCTGGTGACATTTTTTCATCAATGTCGAAAACCGAAGATCTCGATTTGATTTCATCAAATGGTTTAGATGCACCACTTTTTGGTAATGGTTCGTTTACAAAATCTTTGTTTTTATCGTTAGAGTCGTTGCCGAAATGTAGAGTTTTCTCAATGGTTTGTTGGGAATCACACTTGTCTGTTGATGTGTTCTCTAGTGTAATTTCACAGGTAGATATTTTTGCTTCAACAGAACTATCCTCTGATGATGATTTTTTATCATCAAAGTCATCACCACGAATATTTTTGTATCTTCTGCTAGAATATGAAGTATTTATTCGTAATCCCACTTCTGAAATAGGTTCAAACGAATCTGAATCACTGTCATTCGTTATAATACTGGCTTTATCAAAACTGGTCAACAAAAAGCCTTGTTCAATGTCGTTACTAGACTTTTTATCAGCATCTTCAAAAATTATGCTCTCATTTTTAACATCGGCGAACTCTGTGTCCGAACCAAGATTTTCATCAGAACTGATTTTTGGATTCTTCGCGATGCATTCCTGGTTCTTCAAAAGTTTACGCGGTAACGGCTTCGGAGGTTTGCCAACAGCACCAGAATTTGCCAAACTCGACTTATTATTCTCAAATACGCATTCGGGCAACGTGTTAAGTTGCTGACTAAAATAAATAACATTAATCTTATCGCACCCGGACAAATTTCGTTCGCTCGAGGCTTTAAAAGTGGCCAAAAAGTTCGATTTATTTTTGTCTCGTGCGGTGCAGACACTGCTTACCGATGCTGTGTCATCCGAATTCGATTGCAGTTGATGGTTGGTTAGTGATGCCATGCAGTCTAAAGAATGTTTTCTACTACTGTTACTAATGTTATTGTTATTGTTATTGTTAAAACGAGTGTAATCGAACTCGCCGTTAAAATAATTCGTTATCTGTTTTAAGTCTTCCTCACCGTGCAGTCTGATGAGTGTGTCTTTTGTTTCCATTTCGTTCAAGGCGAGCGCCGTGGGCGACCTCTGAGCGTCCTCGCTGTTAGAAATAGCGCTGGGGGCATCTGGTAAAGGTTTTAATTTGGAAAAAAATCATGATAATCGTTTTTATAATAAAATATTTAAGAAAAAATCTTGTAGATATGTAATACATTGGCTGGCGAATTATTAAAACTAAAGAACAAAGACTGTGATAAAATAAGAGAAAGTTTACATCAGAGCTTACAAAGAGAATCTCAGACTTACCAGTCTGGGATTTTGATAAAACTTTGCATGGTGATAGACTATCAACAAAAAGAGGCCCTTAAAATATTAGAGTATTATGAGAAGTTGTTCAATTATAAAAATTCAATCAAATTTAGAAGAATGGTCTGCGCGCTCCTGCACATTTAGAAAACTAGGCTACGTTCCCGTGATTATAGCAATAAAAAGCATACGTCGCAAATATACAAAATTAATATCAAATTAAATAAATAGAGAATTAAACCATATAAAAATCCACTATCAACAAATTCTGTAAGATTCAGTAGCATTCCCAACTATATAAAATTGTTTATTGTTAATATCCAATGAAAAAAAAATTAATACGTGCACCTACGAATTTCCTTCAGATATATAAATTTTTGATTACAAAATATTAATTGAATAAAATAAAATAAAACTAATGGTGAATAGCATCGTGCCTTCCGAATCATTTTCAATATTCAAACAAAAAAAATTTCTTTGGAAATTAAAATAAAAAAAAAATCTTTCCTCGAAATCGGACTCTTAGATCTCTTTCACATTGGATGATTAGTTCTCTCAAAAACTGCTGTTTTTGACACTTTTTGCCTCGTATCTTCGGAACGGCTGGACCTAACTTTACTAAAAACTAATCAGCACATCTCCCTACCAATAGGAATCGATTGCTCTTTGCATTTTTCAAATCGGTTCATCCATACACCCAAAATCGTCGAGAAAAAATTGGCTCCGCACACACACACACACACACACATATTGATTTTTTCTGAGGTATACCAAAATGTTCAGAAACTTCTGAATCCTGAAGATATGCCAAAAAAATTCAGTTTTCATTTTTGGTCCGCTACTATAACTTACCCTATGGGAAGTTGAAAATCTATATTCTGACAAAATTTAAACATCTTATGAACGTAACAACTGAGAGTTACGTTCCTGCACATTTGTAGGGAAATGGTCCTGCTGCCTTCACTGCAGGACCATTTCAATACATTTATAAGAAACACTTCTAATTCATTTATAACATTTCTAAACTTAATTTTTTTATAATTAAACCACTTCTTTTGGGATCCACAATATTTTAAAGGGCTTGTTTTGACTATCAACTGTATCCACCATGCAAAGTTATCAAAATATCAGATGAATAAACCTGAGAATCTTCTTGTTATTATTTTACATAGTAAGATTGTGCCAATGTATTATAAAAAAAAGTAAAAATCCAAGATAAAAAATATTGCCATCCAAAACAAACTCTTTTACTTAATTGTTAAACTCTTTTACTTATAAAACTCGATAATACTTCAACTTCTATTATATAAACCTCTCATCGAATAACACACAAATAACTACCGTGTGTATGTTTTTTACACCAGCTTGTAAAGCAATAATCAGTAAAAAAAACTCATATTATTAAATAAAGAAGTTAAATTTTTACAAAAATACTACCTTTCATCTGATTGACTTTGCATTCTAAATCCATAACATAGTTTTTTAAGCCTTCATTTTCAACTTTCAACTGCTCAATCTGCTCTTGTGCTTCTACTTTGAAATTATTTGCTACTCGAACAGTCATGAGCAAATCAGTTTGGAATTGCTCCCATTCTGCATGCTACAAAAGAAATATTGTGCTTGAAAAAGTAAAAAATATGCTTTAACATAATTATATAAAGGAATTAAATTTCCTCTTTTACAAAAGTATTTACTGTTTGTTTTCATATGTATACAATTTTATTGTTTACCTCTTCCTGTCTCGATCTCTGTTCCTGTTGAAGCTGTTGTTGAGCATCTCTTAATTCCAAGCGAGCCTGTTCAACACCAGATTGTAACAATCGGCATTCCTGCGCTAGTTGAGCATTCTGTTCCTACATTTTAAATATAAACAATTATTTAAAATATCAAATATCGTAAATAAATATACAACAAAAGTTACTATATTATAAACAAACCTGAAAGCCAGTGAAAGCCTCCTGTTGCATTTGTAACTCGGCAGTGACGTTTCGTTTTTCCTGCACTAACTGTTCGTATTTATATTGTAAATCCGACAGTGCGCATTTTGCATTATTTCTAATCACCTAAACAGATATATGCAAATAAGTAAAAATCATACAAAATTGCACAATTCACACAGCTATACAGTGGCAGAATATATGTTTCTTATTAATTTATCTAGAATATATTTACCATACAATCTTCTTGAAGAGTCAAGACTTGATCTTTCAATCTTGCCACTTCACAATGCGATTTAGACAGTTGTTCCTGTAAATCTGCAAGCATAGATCTTAGATCATCTTTTTCTTTACGAGTTGCTGCCAATAGTTCTCCAAGATCAGTTTTATTATCATCGCGATCTCTATCATTTTCCAACTCCACAATCTGCAAATGAATAGCAACTTATGTATTGTTCAGTGCAAAAAAAAAGTTTTTATATTACACAACTATTATTTACCTTAGTTTTTGCGTTTTCCAAAAGCATACTGAGTCTATTGATTTCAATATCCTTCTCCGAGCTTTCATCTCTGGATCGTAGCAACATTTCTTCTAAATCTTTCTTATCCGCCATCGCTCCATCTAAAGTTCCTTCTAAAACTAGTAATCTTTCTTTCATCCTCAAATTATCCGCGTTAATTTGAGCAAACGATTCTTTGAGTTCCTTCATTTCGGCATCATAAACTTCATCTTTGAATGTTGCAGAATTCTGCTTTTCTTCGTTTTGTTGCAGCAAGGATTGATATAAAGAGTTTTTCTCTTCCTTGAGCCTTTCATTGTGAGATTGCATTTCTGAGAGTTGAGATTGTAAGTCCGACAATTCTTGAAGAGTAGCTTGAAGTTCTTCGTTTGTGCTATGGTGAGTTTCTTCCATCTAATAAAAATAATTGGAAAATTAAATGATTTCTCTTTATTAAATATATTTTCAACATACCTCATGTATTTTAACTTGGAGGCAAGCAACAGACATGTGATCCAAACTTTTGCAAGATGTGTTTTTTTCCCACTCCGGTGTTGGACAAGCCGTTGCGAGCGTGTTATCATCTTGGCTCTGTAAAAGTAATAATATAAATATTATTCTAAAACTCATAGATAATTAATGTGTTTTGATCCAATTATCTAATATGAAAATGCATACATTTGACACCGCGATCGAAGCCGGTGCCGAACTGTGCAGCCTCCTATTTCCACCTCCAGCAGAATCTGGAACTTGAAGCAACTCTACCATTTCTCCATTGTCTCCACGATCATGCATTCTATCTGCAAGCTTTTCCAACTTCTCTTGCTCCCACAAAACACGCTCCTGTTTCAATGTTTCCCTTTCCTGTTCTAATATCAATCTCTCCCTTTCTAATTCTTCAGTTTGCAATGCTCTACTCGTTTCGACTTCCTTCAGATACTCCTTCATTTTTACCAACTCCTTCTCTGCATCCAACTGCTTTTCTTGCAGTTGACTCTTGGCCATTTCTTTCCTCTCGTTTTTGGATTGATCCAGACGTTGTTCCAATATCAATCGATTTCTTTCTACTTCCTCCATCTGCTCTCTAACTCTAATTAACTCCTGCTCCATATCGGCAGCCTCCCTGAGTTTCTCCTGAATCTGTAATCTGCTAGCATGTTCTCTTCTCTCGTTTTCAATTAGCAGTTCGGACTGACCCAGACGTTGCTCCAAACCAGAGTTTTTCTCCCGCAAGGTATCTAAAGCATGTTCGAGGGCTTTGATTTCTGATCCATGGATGGAACGTTGTTCATCAAGACGAGATTCGAGGATAAGTCTGGTCTGCGCAGCAGTGTCCAACTGACGGTGGAGGGATTCTATTTCTTGCTGCAACATAGCGTTTGCTTGCTAAAACAAAGAATAGAAATTTTGTCATATGCTTAAATTTTCACAAATATGTATATTTTAATTTATCTATATTAGTTACCTCAGTATGTGATTGTTTTTGTTGTATCATTACGGAGGTAGCAAAATCATAAGGCAAACTCTGAAAATCTCTAGTTAATTCTTGATCATCGCTCGCTGCTGATAATCCTAAAAAAATATTAATACTCAATAATATATTGGATTAACAAGATCAATGTACCTTTCAATAAAACTCACCCCTAGTTAATTCCTTATGCTGTCCGATTGGTGCCTTATGAAATTCAAAATCTCGATCTCGACCAACGGTATCGCCTCTTGCAAAATGATCTCGATTCACATACGCATCTTCAAGGTTGTTAGCTACTGCTCCGAGCTGATCTTGTCTTCTATCCCCAATCTCCACATTATCACCCTGGCCCAGCCTATGAAGATTTTTATCCCTTGAACTCTCTACATTCGACGGCGGTCTTTCCAACCCTCTGTCTCTGCTGTTGGAAGGAACTAATTTATCCAAGCCTTTTTCTCTAGAACCAAGTTTATCCAGTCCTTTATCTCTGGAACCTAAAATTTTCTTAGATGTTTTCTCCTTGCCCAAAGTTCTGGTATCTAGGCCACGGTCTTTAGAGCCTGAAAATTTTAAAAGTCCTGATTTTTGATGTTTCGAATCCAGGCTGGATACGGAGGAGGCGTTCTTGAGGGGCGCAGCAGGAGGTAGAGAGCCGGGGTTGTTGTTTTTGCTGCTGCCACTGCCGCCCTGACCTCTGCGAAATAAAGATTTGAACTTCATCATAGCTAAGCTGTTTATGGACTTTTTTTGGTGGAAATTTTGTTGAAGTTTTTTCGGTTATTGAAGGTAATCAGCATTCACATTGTAGGGGTACATATTGATATTTTTAGCACTTTAAATGTTCTTTTAATTGTTAAGCCAAAGTTTTTATATTAGGAATGGAACACCGATCACTTTTCATTTCGGCACTTGATTTTATAATTTTGGTTTTTCTATTTTTATATAGTTATTAAAGTCAATTATTGTATATCAGTTATATTTTTAGCACTGTAACTTTTATTTTGCTTAAAGTTCTATTTTCACAGTAAGTGGATTTGTATAAAAAATAAGTTGAACAATTTTGATTTTAAAAGCTAATTTAGTTCACTGTAATTGCAAAGAGAAATTGAATTATTTAGTCAATTTTTTACTGAATATTTTGTTTTATTATTTTCAATTCTTAATATAATTTCTTAGGTATGATTTTTGGTATACTATGTAACTATTCATAAAATCAATGTATATACATTTTATTAGTTCTTCAGGAACTATTGAAAATGAATTATTTTTCTATATTTTTGTACACTTTTTTAGTCATTTCAAAATTGAACAAATTCGCACTTTACCTTCGAAACTAAAAAAAATCAAAATTAGATACTCATTTGAAAACAAGTGTCTAATTTAGAAAAAAATTAGTATCACAGGTAAAAAGTGGATTCTTTTAATTTTGAAGGAATTAAAAAAGAGTAAATATATAAAGAAATTATATAAGACAAAGAAGATTGATTGAAAATATAATCCTGAGTAGAAAAATATTGGCAGTGCTACCATACATAGAATATAGTAATGGAAAAAATCATCTCACATAATGGACCTGCCTTCCAAAAAAACTAAATGCAAACTTCTGATTATTTCTGATATGCAATTAATAACATTAGAATATTGAATTAGATTGAAGTATATTTTGAATGTAGATTAAACAGACGGTTATGTAATCAAAGATCTAGGATCTCTATTTCAAATAAGACCAAAAGAAAGACTTTTTGTAAAAAAATAGTAATAAAAGAAGTATAACAAAAGTTACGCATAGAAATTAGACAATAAATATAATAATATTACAGCAAACGCATTATTAAATAATTTACATTATAAAACGCATTTATTCAAATTGGCCTTCCTCCAAATTTACTTAAATCTCTTAAAATATAAATCATACCTGCAATTGCCAAATCACAACTACAAGATTAAAGTTGCAAACGACGATAAAATAATTTTATAAATAGTAGATATAAAAATAATTTTATGAATTTGAAGAATTTAAATTAAAAAACTAAAATGAATTTTATTTGCATAGATGTCAAAACATATTTAGATTGATCGAGTCAACATTGTCAACTACATTGTCCATTGTCTCAATAATTTGATGACATTTTTCGAGTTTTATACATAAAGTTTGTTTGAACATGAAATCTAATTATAATGAATCCATTGTCCTATTCGTTTATATGAAGATGAATAAAATAATATATAAAACCATATAATTCTAATTTGTTAACATTAGAAAATGGTATTTGAATTATGGCAATAAATAGTAAAATTAATGACTATGCCCTCAAAAGCAATTTATACAAGATTTTATACACAGACTTCCATAATGTATCGATGTAAGCGATTATCAATAATGTAAATTAACTCTCCTGATTAATATTAAGAGGCTAACAAATATCAAATAAGCGAAAGGAGTATATTCGTAATAAGTTTCCCACATTATGTATAAAATATGGAAAAGTTTTTGATCCTATGAACCCTCAGTGTATGAATCCTACTTGTGGAATTATTTCATTTATGTTCATCAAATCTTAAAATCGTATTAATAATCATCCAATTCATTAGGACACAAATATTTTGACTACGAAAGGCAAAATCAATTTGCAAGTGGCATTTTGCCTAAAGTCGAGTTGCATGAACTTTCCATTCCACACCAACAAGAAGAATTGATATTTAATTTTCAACATTGAGACTATATTTTTTTAAGTTGAACCAATTTTCGTGAGCCTATAATAATTTTTTGATATTCGTTTTAAACAATGATCTCTATTACCACTATGCAAATTTTTCTTTAAATTATTGAAGAAAAGTTCAACAAATCATTACGAAGACATTGGCTGATCTTTACCATATCAATACTGTTCATCAACTGATTTTTCAAATAGTGGTTGAATTTTCAAAATCGGTTCAGGATTTTTGGCAAAAACGTGGACGAAATATTTGGCACTTATTCATTAATTATGAAGAAACGGTTCGACTGATCGTCGTGCAAAACTAATAAACCGAGTTTCATCACTTGGTTTTTCAATTTATCAATTGGGTGCAACTATTTTTAAAAAAATGTCGAAGTAAGGTCAAATTTTAGTTCACACATACAAAAATTCATACTTACTCCAATTTTGGTGTCAAAAGATTCAGAATGACTTGAATGGAAAGAAAATAAAAAACATAAAATTAGTACCTAACTCAGATTTTCGGGCGAAAACAAACTACAAAAAATGTATCATTTTTTAACTTTGAAAAAAAGAATTGATTTTTGGAAAATTTGAAATTTTTGAAAAAAAAATTGAATTTTTGGAAAAAAAAATCGTTTTTATATTTTGAAATATTTATGGAATTTTAAACTTTTTTCAAAGCTATCGCACTAGCTATCGCTAGACCTGCCTTCCCAAAAAATTTTCATTTTGTCAAAACAAGTAAAACGTTTTATGAATCATTCAAATCAGGCGCTCCATTCTCTCGGAAACTGAATTGCCATTTTCCGCACTTTTTGCCCTGTATCTTCGAAACGGCTTGACCTGCCTTTGCTAAAAACTAATCAGCACATCTTCTTTTCAATAGGAATCAAAAGTTTTTTGAATCATTCAAATCGGTTGAACCGTGTTCCCAAAATTTCGACGAAAATTTGTATCCGAATACACACACACACATAATTTTTAATAATGTATGCCAAAATGTTCAGAAACCTTCAAAACGTGAAGATATGCAAAAATTATATATAAAAAAACCTAGATTAAAGATCCTGATTGACAAATTAGAAAAAAGTAATTAAATTGAAATAATTTCTCAAAAATTGGTTTAATTCTACAAATTTTGCTCTTCATGTCTAAAAGAGTGTGTGGGCTTAGACATTTCTGTATTTAATTTATTTGAATTTTATAATAATTTCAGTTGGCCATTTTGAGCAATTTTTAAGTTCTGGAAGGAGAAGTTTATTTTCGCCAAAAAATCCGTGTTACTAATTTTATGTTTTCTTCATTTTCTTATCACATTGTTTCTGCAAATAAAGTAACTTTTAAAGTTGACCTCGCAATGAAAACGAAATTCTACAGAAATCTAATCTTTTTTTTTTTCAATAACTATCAGAACTACTTATTTCCACCCTTTCCACTCGAATGCCGCCATATGAATCTCGGAATTAGCGATTGAAAAGGGTTATAAGCTGGTTAGCTAAAGTACATCCTAATCTAGTTTTTTTCCGAGAGAGCAACTCAGCGGACAACCATCCTCCTTTTTTATGCGTAGGCTATATATATCAAATAGTCTTGGATCATATATGTTGCAGCAATGCCCACGAGAGACGGTTCACGTGATAATAACAAATATTATAGATCTATTAACTTCAAGAGGAAATGTGATATCATACTGCTTGATATCGAATCCAAGACTAATTTGTGGTTAACCATAATACCTCGACTATCGATTTCCAATCTTATATCTATCCTCTAGTGATTCCATGAGAAACATCACAATTTTGCAACATTTATTAAACCAGTTCTCATAAAATAGTAATATTCGCATAGCTGCGTCCTGGATCAAGGACTTTACCAGTATAATAAAATCTCAAAGTAGTAAACATGACATCTAGTCAGTTGCCTCATTTACGACCTGGTTGGAGATTATAAATAGGAAATCAGTATAAAAGATGATTCTATAAAAGGAATAGCAAGTGCCGACCAATTAAATCAATTATATGTGACGTCGCTATTATTATTTATTATTGAGATTGTTATGAATTGATGGAAATTAACTTATTGACCAGTAGAGTCGAAGCGATCTCAATGTCAAGATGGCTATTAATAAACCATATTAAGTACCTGAACGTCGTTCCACTTTACGACCACAAATTAAATAACAATATGGTAGTTATAGATTTATATTTCAATTAATTGGCTTTATCGATAGTATATAATTGTAGGTGATTTTTAATGGTTACATACATTTTTTATGGCGACAGAAAAAATTGTAAAAGGTAACTAAGCTAAAAAATGGCTACCGATCCATTCAATGATAAGAATTTTTTTATCTAAATAAGGCACTCCATGAGTTCCAAATTTTGTCAACTTTATCAATAATTTTAAAAATAAATATCAGAAAAATGTTCACACAAGCCATGGAAACTTATGTATGTATAAAAAAAAATTGTATGAAAGAAATTTTTTTTACCAAAATTTCTGGACAAACTATTTTTATGTCACACGTATATGACTGACATGGCCCTATATTAAATATTTTTTCTGGATGTACTGGAGTTTCGTATGTCAGACATATGTCTGATAAGGCTCATGTAGAACTTCTTAGCGTCAGACACATATGACTGACATGGCGATTAACGTGTTAAACAGATCTCGATATTGCATTGTTTTAAATGCCGTCCAGATAATGTAAAATTTGTATCATGTTTTTTTCACAATTAATTATATCTACTAGATAAAAAAAAACTTTCCCTAAAGGATCAATATATCATGTAAAAATGGAATTTAAATATTGCTAATTAAGTAGATTTGAAGAAACGTTTCTCTTTACTTAGATAAGAGTCAAAATCAAATAAAAATAAATTTGAAAATAATTTTTTCGATTTTTTCCAGATTTTTTTCTGAACATTGCAATAATTTGAGCTATCGTCGACGGTTATATCGCATAAGACGCGTTTTGAGACCGGTCCCT